TTTCCATAAAACATTTCCCTGAAAAATGGTTTAGTTTCGAAAAGCGACGATTAGACCATAAGGTCCAGTGGATTCCCTTAATCATCAGTTCAACATTTTCAAACAGTTGAAACAATGACAAAACCAACAATATAGAAATTCCATACTCAATTAAAATTTAGAGCACATTCCCATCACATGGACCTTTGTTGGGCCATTGACCAGCATCTTCCTAAATCGAAACATGGCGCTAGCTATTACACTATAAAAAAAAAAAGTTGCGCCTTCTCCACTAGCAATTGCTTTTTGCATAGTGGTAATTGGATCCTAACATGTGGTATCAGAGCAAGTCACGGGTTCGAATCCCATGGAATGCATAAAAATGCCAAAGGCATACTGTGCAGCCATTGACTTCTAGCGAAGATCTTGTTAGTGATGGCAGATGCTTGAGGGGGATTGTTGGGTCATTGACCAACATCTTCTTAAATCGAAACGTGGCACTGGCTGCTATGCTATAAAGAAATAAGTTGCGCCTTCTCCACCAGCAATTGCTTTTGGTGTAGTAGTAAGCGCTTGGATCCTAACAACCTTGCACAACATTTGTAGCCAATCCTCGCGACAATTACAATTCAGCCCTGCAGTATATGTTTATTCAATGTGCTCGAGAAACAAATTCAAGGCACACAGATTATCACTTCCAAGAAATATCATTATTTCAAGGTACCCTACACCTGTTGTGCAATTTCACACATCCTACATAACCATATATAACTCAGTTACCTCCAAGGGTACAACATGGTAAACTGCATAAAAAATCATTGATGCATAAAACCGTAATCAGTGCTCAAAATCATTTAGAAACAATCACAAGTTATAAAAAGCAGTAACCTGTTGTCCGATGTTCCATCAAGAGCTCTAAACGACTAAAATGCTCAAATTGAACACTTGAATTAACCAAGTTAAGAAAGGTGTTAAACCATCTTAATTATCCCAACAACCATATCTTATATCCCTTTAAGTAATCCTCTAAAATAACGCTCCAACCTTGTCTCGAATCGAGAAACGAAACAAACGAGAATGAGCCACAACAATAGTGGCGTACTCGACTTGCACCGATAAAAGAATTCACAACATTTTTTTAAATATGACTAATTTATTATCATAAATTGTAATAATAATAATTATTAGTTATAACAACAACAACAACATCAACTTATTTTGGTAGACTTAGGGGTCGTTTATCAAACGCTTACTCGGGTAAGTGTTTACCAAGTCACATTATCTTACAGTATGAATATGACAAAGACCAAGAATCTTACCTGGTAAGAGCAAAGGCAAGGGCCGAGAGTCTTACCCAGTAAGTGAGGATGACGACTCTTACCATGGTTAGCACTTACAGGGTAAATTGTTGTAAACGATATCGTTTTGATAGACTAAAATCTTACCCGGTAAATAAGTGACAATGTTGCATCTTGCCACTAAGCACTTACCCACATAAACGTTTGGTAATCAGCCCTTAAAATACCAAGGTTCTTAATAATTATATAAATTTAAAATAGATACCTAAATTAAATTAAATTATAATAAAAAATAAATTAAAGAAATTACATAAAATATAAAAACTTTTAAATAGTTGATTGGATATTAACATTGATATATTTTTTTCAAAATTTTATTATATTTTCAAATTTATATTTTATTCAAAAATAAAATCATTATTGCTTTCTTAAAAACACATAAAATAGTATTATAACATCTACAAAGACACATAATAAATAGAGCATTAAAATCGAGATTTGTCTCGCTGCATTGCGCGAGTACTCTT